TTTTTTCTCTCAGCAACAATCATTCATAGGGTTTGTTTATAAAAGACTTTTTTTTTTCTTTTTTTCGAATTCTTGCCAAATTCTATGATAGACACATACACATAAAAAGCCCACATATATGCACATCACCACTGATGACTATATATATTTGTACATACAGACATACACACAGACACACACATATATATCAACTTATATACACACGCACACATAATGTATGTGTCTTTATGAGCGTGGGTGTTAAATGATGTATCTTAAACGATTCTTCTTTATTCATTATTTTTCCTTCTTTCTCTCTTTTATTCTTCACGCACAACTCCTTATCTTATATTTATATATTTATACATACACACACACACGCACACACACATATATACATGTATATATACATACATATATATATATATATATATATATATATATATATATATATATATATATATATATATATGCTTGTGTACATGATGTGTATGTGTGTGTGATACTTACACACGCACATAGAGTAGTTTCATCAATAAGCCTGTAATTTTATGATGAAAAAATATAAACATATATCCATATTTCAACATAATCTCCTCCCTTGTGAATGCACTTAACCCAACACTTTTTTCACTCATCACATCGATAGAACATTATTCAATGAAAATTTCAGAACAAATACAGCTATTACAGGGGTCTGCAAAAGTAGGTACACACACTAAGTATTATACTAGTATCATAATAATGGTTCGAGGATTCATTTAATACTAGAATCATTTTTAATATTTTTATTTTCATGATTTTTTTTATATTTATATATATATATATATATATATATATATATATATATATATATATATATTTTAAGAAATTATAATAATAATAACAATAATAATAATAATAATAATAATAATAATTTTTTTTCAGGTAAAAGATGAGTGTGTAAATGACAGGGGCAAACAGTTTGAACATTTGAGGATTCATATGTTTATTATTATGTTTGTATAATCAATACAATACATTTTGTGCGCACGTTTTTCATAACTGTATAACTATTTTTTCAACCCTTGTATGTCAGACAATTCAGGCTACAGACTTAGTGATCCAATTGAATAATCTCTCATTCTCTCTCATTCTCTCTCTCTCTCTCTTTTTATATATATATATATATATATATATATAATCATATATACTCTTTTACATTCTCTCTATATATTTATATATATAATGATATATATATTCTCTTTTACATTCTCACTTTCTCTCGCTGTCTCTCTCTCTGTCTGTCTCTCTCTCTCTCTCTCTCTATATATATATATATATATATATATATATATATGTATACATTTATATATATATAATGACATATATACTCTTTTACATTCTCTCTGTATAATGATATATACATATATTCTCTTTTACATTCTCTCTCTCTCTCTATATATATATATATATATAGATAGATAGATAGATAGATAGATAGATAGATAGGCACCTCGAAGTTGTGTAATGGTTAGCAAGCTTGTCTCGCTAGAACAATTATGACCGAATAGTGAGTTCGATCCTCACTGGGTGCCCCATACTTTCGGCCTTGTTCCACATGTAAGCTACGTGTGGAAAATCACTATATATATAATGACATATATATTCGCACTGTATACATATATATGTGTGAGTGTATGTATTTACACACATATGTATGCATAAACAAAAGTGTTATAAGTACAGTTATATAGATGAAACTTTTTGGTATTGAATAAATCGCACGTTGACCCTAGAACGGTGTTATCATTCTATTGAGTTCTCCCATTGCATTCCGTCTATTTATTGTGGAGGCGGCAGTTAAGCTTTTTTGATATGAGACTCACTGTCTTTTTCTTTTTCTCACATATCCGTCTCTCTATCATTAATAGTAAAACCTTATCTATGAAGATGTGCTGAAAAGTTCTCAACACGGCGTATTTTTCAAAAATCTGACCAAATGACCAAACAGTATTTTGGGGTTGGTTGATTAGTTGGTTGGCTGCCTGGTTGTCCGGATGAGGGCTTCTTAATCAGGCTGAGAAATTTTCAGCGCCCCTCTCAAATGTCTGGTGAATCTTGAATTTTCTTTCGTTCTTTTTTTCTACTTCTATGGATAAAGATGTAGAGAATGCGTGTTTTTTTTTTTGGCTTTTTTTTTGTGTGTGTATGTGTGCATGTGTTGTGTGTGTATGCATGTGTGTGTGTGTTAGCGCGTATTCGTGTGTGTTTGTGTGTGAGCGTGCTTGTCTACGTGCGTATTTTATGTCTGTATCGTATGTCTTGTCACTTTTATTTTCATTTTCTTTTTCTTTCTTCAGTTTTGTTCCTTATCGTTTTCTGATTAATTTTCTTAGTGATTTTTTTCTCTCTTTGTTTTGTTTCCTCACGTTTTCTTTCTTTCTCTTTGTCTGTCTTTCTTTCTTTGACATCTCACATTTTCTTTCTTTCTTTCTTTCTTTCTTTCCTTGTCTACCTTTCTTTATTCCATCTCACATTTTCTTTCTTTCTTACTTTCTTTCTTTCTTTCTTTCTTTCTTTCTTTCTTTCTTTCTTTGTCTACCTTTCTTTATTCCATCTCACATTTTCTTTCTTTCTTTCTTTCTTTCTTTCTTTTTCTTTCTTTTTTTCCTTGCCTACCTTTCTTTTTTCCATCTCACATTTTTTATCTTTCTTTTCTTTCTTTCTTTCTTTCTTTCTTTCTTTCTTTCTTTGTCTACCTTTCTTTATTCCATCTCACATTTTCTTTCTTTCTTTCTTACTTTCTTTCTTTCCTTGTCTACCTTTCTTTATTCCTTCTCACATTTTCTTTCTTTCTTTCTTTCTTTCTTTCTTTCTTTCTTTCTTTCTTTGTCTACCTTTCTTTATTCCATCTCACATTTTCTTTCTTTCTTTCTTACTTTCTTTCTTTCCTTGTCTACCTTTCTTTATTCCTTCTATTCCATCTTTCTTCATTTTCTTTCTTTCTTTCTTTCTTTTTCTTTCTTTCTTTCTTTCTTTCTTTTTCTACCTTTCTTTATTCCATCTCACATTTTCTTTCTTCCTTTTTCTTTGTCAACCTTTCTGTTTTGTCATCTCACATTTTCTTTCTTTCTTTCTTTCTTTCTTTCTTTCTTTCTTTCTTTCTTGTTTGCTCACTTTTATTACTGTTTTCTTATCGAATTTTCTTTTCGTCTTCCCATCTCTTTTTCTATCGTTTCTTCTTTGATCACTTGACTTCCTTATTCTGTTTATATTCTTTTCACCCTTTACTTTTCTTTTATTCTTATTTCGTTTATTTCATTTTTTTAATGGATTTTGTATCTATTTCTTTTCCTAGAAACGCCTCACTTTTTTCACTACCCTTTTTTAAAAAATATTTTTTATATTTTAGAGCAAACCCTCCTTTGTTCTCGTTTTTCTAACAAACTACTTCCTTTTCAGTCAAATTCACTCGATACCACTCTCAGTATTTCTTTCTCTTCACTCTAAAATTGTCCCTTATGCATATCTCTCTCACAACCTCTCTCTTCGCCTTTCTGTACATTTTCATTTTTTTCATCTTCCTCTCTTTCTCTCATTTTCCCTTCCACAAGTTTTCTATTCTCGCTTTCTTTCCCTGTTTTTGTCTTTATTCTTCGTAATATCCTCACCCCCTTCGTTTTCTTCTGATATTTTATATCTATCTATCTATCTATCTATCTATCTATCTATCTATCTATATATATATATATATATATATATATATATGTATGTCTGTGGTCTGTTTGCATATGTGTTTATTCCCCTCTCTTCGTCTTGCTATATCTACTTTTTCCCTCTATTTGATTCTTTGCCTTACTCACATTTCTTGCGCACACTGTAACCCACTCTTTTTATATAACCTTCCTTTCTTTATTTCTTTTCGTTTCTGTCTTCGTTTTTTGTACCCTCTCTCCCTCCTCTATTGCATTATTCTATCTTTCTCAACTTCACATCAAATTCACATCTCTCACCCTTCCTTCCTCCCTTCCTCCCTTTCTCTCTCTCTCTCTCTCTCTCTCTCTCTCTCTCTCTCTCTCTCTCTCTCTAGCATTTTACTTTATTCCCTTTTCTCTTCCTCTGTCTTCGTCTTCTTTTTTCTTTCCAACTATTTTGTTCTTTGTCTAGCTCTATTTTCTGTTTCTTTATATTTGACCTTATCTTCAATGTCTTCCCCCACTTTCTCTCTCTCACTCTCTCTCTCTCTCTCTCACTCTCTCTCTCTCTCTCTCTCTTCCTCTTTCTCACACGTACGCGCATTCTCTTTCTCTGTCTGTCTCGCTCTCTTTCTCTCTTTATATCCATCTGATGGAAGCTATGATCGTAAGCTGTTAAAGTCGATTGGTAGCCTGGTTCACTTATTCGACAGTGGTACTGCTCGTGTTAGTTTGTTAGACAGTATCCTTCCACGGTGTTGCTGCTGATGCTGTTGATGGACGCCAGCATTTTGCAGCCTTCATTTTTCTCTTTGTTTCTCTCTTTTATTCTATACTTGAATAGGAACAGCAGCAGCAGCAACAACAGCAACAGCATATACTATGTATTCATGCGCCCATTTCTCTGCGTGTGCGCGCGCACGAACTCTTTTCTACGCTTGCAAATATGATTGCTTATTAACATGTGTGTGAGCGCGTGCCTACAAGTCAATATCCGGGCTCAATGTGTACGTGTGTACGTGTATCAGCAGTATGAAGCCTTTTAAGTGTGCAAAACTATAAGGATTTTTAAAATGACGGCTACATTGGCCTATATGTGAGTGAGAGTTTGTCTACAGTACTCAGTACGTGCTTTTAAAAGATATTCATTTGTGCGTTCGTGCGTACGATTTACAGCTGTTAGTATATTAGTAGGAGATATTATTTGTGTACATAATTGTATATATTTTATATAGATTTGTACGCGTGTTCCTATAATATATATAGTAGGTTTATCTATGAGTCTATATACGATATGGAGTTGCGTGTATATCTATTATTATGCTTACAGATAGCCGAGAGTTC